GTTTCCTTCATATATCTTGGTGCTCTTTGATTTCAAACAGACAGACATTTTTATTTATTATGCATCTCATCATAATCAGCTTTCTGGAGAAGTTATACATGAAAATGGCCAGAAATCCACAGACAAATCTCTATGATTCCAACCAACTAGGTTTGTGACATTGTGTAACACAGCTTAATACAACAAAGGATGAATTTAGAGAGATATTTGACTTCATCCTCTTCGATGTGTGATTTTGGTGAAGTCTTTCTTCTTCTGTCCTTTGTCTTTCCAGGCCCTTGGCTGCCCTCTTGTGTGCAGAACCAAGTATATCAACAGAGAGGTTATCAAGTTAAAGTCAGTGGCAGAAGGTAGTAGAAGCATTCAGCAGACCTTGAAAAAAATAGTGTATAGATTTCCTTGTTGCTTTGTTTCTCAGAATGCAAAGTAGATCAGAGTGAGTGAGTAGAAATATGTAACATTTGAGGGTCGAGTTGAATATCCCTCTCATACCTTAAACATCTCTATAAATAGAAAAGGATGTAGCTAATACACTGTATCCTCAAAGCATTGTGATTTCATATTTGAAAGGTGTCAGAATTGTTAGCACATTGGATGATATATTTAAGTGTTGAGTTGAATTCAGTTAGATGAAGTGTTTATTGGATTTTCATCTTAATGGAAAACAAGGTACTGGAAACCCTAAATTGCCACGGTATTTCATGCACGTTAAGCATTTCCAGCATTTAAATTGTTCTTTTGCCTCTGCACAACTAACTATGTAACCATTAGTAATATTGTTCTGTTGTAGGGTGGAGTCTGTGGTTGTGAGAAGGGCTATACAGAGATAATGAGATCAAATGGCTTCCTGGATTACTGCATGAAAGTACCGGGCTCAGAGGATAAAAAAGCAGATGTTAAAAATCTTGCTGGAAAAAACAGACCTGTGAATTCAAAAATACACGATATATTTAAAGGATGGTCTCTTCAACCCCTTGATCCTGGTATGTTTCTGCTATAAGAAATGTCAATCTTCTTATGGGTAAGGTTTCATATTTGGATTACTGCTCATGACAAATGGAGAAAAGAGGAGGGAAAGAAGAGGCAATACGGTCCAGTCCAATATTTCTCTAACTTGAGTCTACTATAATATATGGTGCCTTCTAAAGTAAATCTAATGTAAAATGTTCTCATGGATGATTGAGGATAGCTCTGTCTACTCCAATCTAGGAGGCACTGAAATATTATCCCCTAAAAATGTCTTTCAATTGTTAATTATCTCAGGAAAATAACTTTGTTTAGATGAATTTGCTTAAATAGTTGAAATGGAAGAAAAAATAGAACAGATTCTTATGGAACTTTCAGAAAATGTCCCTGAAACTTCTCTGGTTTGAGAATACTGGCAAAATAGTTAAATATTAATTTCAGAGGTCTATGTGGTCTTTATTCTAAGAAGAAAATTACTGTGAGGTCCAAGGAAAATGAGTCTCAAGTCCCATAAGTGAAGTCCTTAAGCTTTAACAATTGGATGGACTTTGGGAATCTGTCTATAAACTTAATTAGTATGTGGAGATTATATATACACAAATGCATTTATACACATTATCTATGCATCTATCTATCTATCTATCTATCTATCTATCTATCTAGATAGATAGATAGATAGATAGATAGATAGATAGATGGCTAGATAATGTGTATAAATGCATTTGTATTCTGAGGAGAAAGTCTGTAGCTTTCATCAGGTTCTCCCATTAGCAATGTAAATTTGAATGACTGCTTAGGAGGATAATGAGGCTACCTCTTGGATTTGTAATGTACATATATTTTGGCCTAATGTGTACACTAGGAATTAATCATACATGTATATTGCACAACTACTGAAAAAAGTATATACATGACATTCATTTTATGATTCGTTCTTATATAGCAAATGAGTGGTAGCAACCTAGAAGTTCACAAATAGAGTAATATTAAAACAAAAACATTACACAACTGTACACAACTGTGCAATGATATCACTGTGCAATGATATCACCAAAAGATCAGCACTGGGCTGTGAACTCACCAGTTGCTCCTTGGAAACCCTGTGCAGGGCTGCTATGAGTCGGAATCAACTTGACAGCCTTCAAATCTTTCAATGCTGGGTCAAAGCACTGGACCACGAGGTTGGTTTGAACTGCAGGGTCAGCAGTTCAAACTCACCAGTCGCTCCTTGGAAACCTTGTACACTCTGAGTCAGAGTCTGACTTGGAGGCACCTAACAACCATAGTATCCTTGCGTGGGACAGTTAATGCACTTGGCTGCTGCTAAACACAATCTTGGAGGTTCTAGTTCACCCAGAGCATCTCGGAAATAAGGCTTGGTGATCTACTTCTGAAAAATCAGTCTGAAAATTCTATGGAGCACAGTTCTACTCAGACATACATGGAGTATAAACTAGTAAGGAAATATTTCCAACTTATATTAAGTGAAAATCACAGTGAGTTACTATGGAACTTTTCTACTTTTGGTGGGGGTGGAGGGGGGATGTGCTGGCATGTATGTGTGTGTGTGTGTACTCGCATGTTTGCAAATTCAAAGACAGGTGGAAAGGCTACCGGAAACTGGTAGCTGTCTTAACTCTTTAGAGAGGTCAAGAGGAAGACCTTTTAATCAATACATGTATTTTTAACAATTATGCTAATTGTTTGTTAATGAACCACATAAAAGCTGCACTGTCTCCTCTCAAACTTTGACTTGATCAGATTTTCTGGGTCATGAGAAATAAGGTGTGTTCTCCCTCAGAGAAGACCTTTTCTCTTTTTTTGGCAAGAGAGTAGCAGATTCATTAGTGCTTCAAAGAGATCGGATTCAAAGCTTTGCTAAAAGTTTGATGACCATAGAAAATCATACTGCTTCACTCTAAAACCTGACTGAAGCTGGAAAATGCCCTGTAAGCAAACCTGTGACTTTATTCAAAGCAAAGGCTTTAGAGTAGGATGCTGATATGTGTATTTTGGTCCTTCAGTTAATTACATTTATGTACTATACCAAACCTTCTGTGTGTGCATACGTTTCAGGAATGAAAGCAATTCCTCTGGGATGCTAAGGCATTGCCTTTGTCGGTACAATTCTAAGTTTAGTTAGCTATGTCTTATTGTTGTTAAGTGCTGTCAAGTCAGTTCCGACCCATAGCTACCCTATACGAGTCAGTTCCGACCCATAGCTACCCTATATAGAATTTACGAGGAGCTGTATGCACACATAAAACTAGAGTAAAATCCTTATCTTGGTGGAAACACTTCAATTTTCTATCATTTATCAAACCAACATGCAAACAGAATTCAGTCAAGCCATATCTTACACAGTAAAAGTCACAAACTCGAGTGTTTTTATGATTTGTGTTGATTAACTCTATCCATTACCATCAAATCGATTCCTGCTCAAAGAGATTCTGTAGGGCAGAGTAGAACTCACCAACCATTCCTCAGAAACCCTATACAGGGTGACTATGAGTTGGAACATACTTGACAGCACTTAACAAGAACAAATCATTCAGGAAGCAGAGCCCTCAAATGGTCTTAGTAGTTGCCTTTGCATGTAGAAACTGGTTCTTAATTATACTTTTCGTCTTTGTTCTTTTTTACATTGTCAAAATATGTTGAACTCCTTTCCTGTAATCCATTTATATGTCAATACACACACACACACACACACACACATAAATACAAGTAGTCTGCCAATTGATTTTGTTGTTGTTAAGTGCCGCTGAGTCAGTTCCGAACCATAGTGACTCTGCCTAGGGTTTCCAAGGAGCGACTGGTGAGCTTGAACCACCAACCTTGCAGTTCAAACTGATCTTGTGGTCTAGTGCTTATCCTGCAGCACCACACCAGGTCAATAGATATGACTTTTACGAAATAATAGTTGCCAGTAAGATTAACTGTCTAGCATTTTCACTTTGTTTTTGACATTGACATTCAGTAACGACCAACTCTGGTAGCGTAGTGGTTATGAATTGGGCTGTGAACCTTAAGGTCAGCGGTTCGAAACTACCAGCCGCTTCGCGGGAGAAAGATGAGGCTTTCTACTCCCGTAAAGATTTACACCCTCGGAAACCCTGTACAGGGTCGCTATGGGTCGGAACCGACTTGACGGCACTTAACAACTACCACATACGATAGCTGTCACATTTATGCTTATGACCATTTACACAAGTATCAGAATTCAGATGAACATTTTAGCTCCATGCAGTTCCAACTAGTGTTATTTTTAGTATTAATTTGCTAAAGATCAAAGAGTGATGAGAACTGGTTATTTCAACAAAAGTTCAAGGAAAATGCTACTGTGTGGTCAGCGGCTCAACCCCACAAGCTGCTCTTCAGAAACGCTATCCAGGGTTGCTGTGAGTCGGAACCAACTCAAAAGCACTTAACAACAACATTATTTATTTAATTGACAATATAATTTAGAGAAGCCCAGTGGCACAGTTGTTAAGTATTCAGTTGCTAACTGAAATGTTGGCAATTCAAACCCACCCGATGCTTCATGGGAAAAAGCTCTGACAGTCTACTTCTGTAAAGATTTATAGCTTTGAAATCACTATGAGTCAGTTTCTGCTTGGTTCTGTTGTTGCTGTTATTAGGTGCCTTCGAGTCAGTTCCCACCCATAGCGACCCTGTGTAGGGTTTCCAAAGAGTGAGTGGTGGGTTTGAACCAGCAACCTTGTTGTGTAAACTGACCTTGCAGTCCATTGCATTATCCTGTAACCCCACACGAGGTCCTAGAGGGTCACTATTAGTCAGAATGGCCTACAATCTGTTAATATACTTGATATCTACTTTTTTCACAGACATACTTCCATTAGGGAACCATATTCCAATGATGTTCCAGGAAAGAACCTTACCAATTCCTCACTGTATTAGGCAAATTACAAAATACGCTAGAACATCATTAGCACCTGCAGTGAAACTATCTAAGGAGTTCTGGTGTGCTGCTGTAGGCATTAGACCACAAGGTCAGTTTGAACTGCAAGGTCAGTGATTCAAACTCACCAGCTGCTCCTTGGAAATCCTATATAGGATTGCAATGAGTCGGGTCAGACTCGACGTCATTTCACAACAACAAGATGCCGAGACTCATTTCGAGTCTAGAATTAATGGCAACTTGGGGTTGTCAGACATTATACTACTCTAAAATGCTGTAGATTATTGTACACTAAACTATTTATTTTATCTCTATTTTAAACAGATGGCCGAGTAAAACTTTGGGTTTATGGCGTTTCAGGTGGTGGTTTTCTTATCATGATTTTCCTAGTATTTACTTCCTACCTTGTTTGGTAAGTACTAATTAGTAAAGTTTATATTCCTTAGTGTTGTATTTACTACCAGAAAACTTTTGTCAAGATCATTATAACATGACCTTTGAGACCACAAATAATCTCCAGTAGTAGAATTGGGAATTCACTGTTCTCAAGTTGTTGAAATAGGAGATCATTATCTTAATTGTGCTCATTTAAAATAACAAAATTCTTTTATTTAGTTTTCTAAAAATACCAGAAGGCTAGGTAAGAAAAACAAATCATTAGGCAAAGAATCCACACATTACTGATTTAAGTAAAACCTTTTATATCAGTGATTTTCAGTCTTGACTGATACTGGTATATCCTGGATATCTTTAACATTGATGCTTAGGCCCCACCCCTCAGAGATTCTGATTTAATTAATGTTGGGTGTGGCCAGATGACCAGGATATTAAAAAAAAACAACCTCCCAGGGTAATTCTAACATGCAGTCAAGATAGCATTAGATAATTCTAGTTCTTAAATGATTGTTTAGATCTAGTTAGATCAAATTGCCTAGTTCAAGCATCTTGTTAGTGCATTTTAAGTACCTGATGTTTATCTACAATGACCAGCTATAAGAGAAAATTTAACTAACTTTTAAATTCAGAAACTCCATTTTTTAAGTGACTAGTTCCTCAAAATGTATTATTCTCAGAAAAATTATAATTAGTTTAGTATACAGAATATATTATAGTTGATGAGCTGCCCCTGAAACCAGACAGAATATATTTGCATGTTTTCAAATGTGTTAAGAATATTTTATTAGCATCCTAAGCAGAATTTCCAAAGTTTTTTTTCCCTATAATATCAAACTATTGCTGTACTTTTTGTCTTCACATAGAGATATTTATATACATCAACTGTCTTATAGACTATTTCTGTGAGAATCTTTACCCAAGTTTTAATCTCAATTTAAACCCAGCCTTTGTATATTTAGCTTCACATTCTTTTTCCAAGGCTACACAGGGTTTTGCATCTTTTCTCTTGGTCATTGTAAGTTGGTGATGAGAATAAGATGGCTTTAATTCTTTCTGCCACCTAGAGTGATAGAAACTGAATCTCTAGAAATTGGATTTCTATCCAGCTAATGTTTCCACAGTGTTGTAGTGAAAAGTAACACCTTCGGTTGGTTAGTCACCCTATAATCAAATGTTTGTTTGTTTGGTTGATTTTTTTTTTTTTAATCAGTTTTTATATTTGATTTGTTTAGTTGTTTTTTTAAATACTACCTACATCCTGTCTTAATGAGAAAGTGGGAAGCTAAATGTTCTATATGAGGTTCATAGGACTAGAAAGCACTTGCTACCAGAAAAAACAACAAGGAAAAGATCTTAAAGGACAACATAGGGCATGAATGTTTTACAAATGGGAAAATGCTCTCAGGACACTAGGACAATACAGTGTATTTTAAATACAATAATAAAATATTCTATGAATCTATAAAAGCATGACAGTTGATTGCAACATTACCAAATTTAGATTCTATGATTTCTTCTTCCTACAAATATCTAAGAAAGTAAAATAGTTAACATTTTGTAACAAAAAATGTTCCTTTTTACAATTCTCCATTCTCTCCAACCTAAAAATATATATTTCACTATAATGCATCCCTTCAGTAATATTTACTGAGGCCTTTCTCTATACAAAACATGTTAAATGATGTTGGGTCTGTGGTTAAATGCTGTACAGTCAGTTCCAACTCATAGCAACCCTGTATAGAGTTTCCAAGGATCAGCTACTGAGCTTGCATTGCTGACCTATGGGTTCAAACTGACCTTCCTGTCCAGTGCTTTTCCCCACAGCTCTATACCAGAACTCCATATAAAAAACTAGGCTCTAGAAATTATTTACTTTGCTAAATTTGGGTAACTTTGCAGTTCTGTTTTGTTTTTTATATCAGTGGGATTCCTCCTTACTTTTTTGGGGGGAGGGGGGCCAATTATATCAATATTTACATACTGTTTTTCTCATATCTATGTTTTTCATCCCTAGTGCCAGACCCTAATAACTTCCCTCTAGGAGTGGCATGGTAGCTCCGTACTTGGACTCATTGCATCTGCTTCCTTCTGCAGTTTGCAGCCACATGTTGTTGTTAAGTGCTGTCGAGTCTATCCCAACCCATAACAACCCTGTATAGTGTTTCCACGGAGAAGCTGGTGAGCTTGAACCACCGACCTTGCAGTTTGGTGCATTAACCCACAGAGCCATATAGGTCTTCTTGAAACAAAACATTGCTCCAGAGGTTGACTGCCTTTCCTGCTCCTATCAGCCAGCAATGACATCTCATTGACAGTAAAACCAAGCTCATCATCCTGCAGCTTGCTAGTCAACTAAATTCTTTCATAGGTTAAACCTGAATAACTAGTTCTACTTCATTTACTAATTCTTTAGACGCTGAGTAACTGGCAGTGTTGAATATACTCAAATATATAACAAGTTTTCATTTCACCAAAGAAAACATTTTTGATTATTTAATAAACTTTCTTGGATTTAGATAAAATAGTAAATAGCTCAGCAAATAATCTGTGTGTTTAATTATACATTCTCAAAAAAATTCCCTAATATGTATTTTGATATTTCATTATAACATACTTATTTTTGCCAATTTCATATTCTTAACAGTTTGACTCAAATTCATTTTTTCAGGATAACCTTACTTATTTCTATCCAACTTGTTTGATATAATTTCATATAATTGCTTTTTTGATTCTGTATGTGCTGCTGTTTTCAGAAATTTTATCTCAAGATTCAAATACTTTGACATATATTAGAAAAGCTGACCATTCTGTTGGTTCTGTGTATGTATATTTGTTTTCTTCATTTTGAAAAAGCCAACACTACTTTTTATATTGTAAAGATAACATGGCTTCATCAAGTGCTTCAGAGTAGAATAAAACTGGACTCTAGAGAATATTTTTAAATGACTGAAATATTTCCGAAGATTTTGCAAAGCACCTCTGGGTGGGTTTGAACTTTTGAGCCACTGCTTAACCATTTGTAAAACCCAGGGTTGTTGTTGCTGTTAAGTGCCATCAAGTTGGTTCCAATTCATAGCCACCCTGTATAGGGTTTCCAAGGCTTTTTAAATCTTCTTGGGAGCAGAATGTCTTATCTTTCTCCTGTGAAGCAGCTGGCAGGTTCCAACTGAGGACTTTGTGGTTTGCAGTCCAGTGCTTATCATCATATGGAACCACCGTGCTCCTGCAATATTGTATAGGGCTTTAATATATGGTTGCAACCTCTTTCAAAGAGATATTTCTTTGGGAGTTAAAAAGAAAAGTTTTTATTAGGGTTTAGAGTTATATCTTCTAGTTCCCCAAGGAGGCTTCTGTTTACTCCTTATAGCTCATTCATCCAAAATGAATTTTTCATCAGTAGCTATTGGGAGTCTATGAGTTCTTCCCAGCCAAACTCACATACCAACATTTTCTTATCAGTCTGCAGTAGCTTGTCTCTACCTCCACTGTGATATTTACTTCATGCTGGTATTGTCATTCTTTGTATAAACACCTGCCTCCTTTACAAAACCCCAAGGCCTTTCTTTCAGAGAAAAGGGTAATGACTATGTGTTATTGATCCTTTTATTAGAGTACAAGTTTGATGAATATTTACTGAACAAATAGAAAAATGGGTGGATAAATGAATGTGATAATATAAACAATTTTATTACCCATAACTTTAGAGACAAAATCAGAAGGAAAATGTATTATTTATGTACCAAGCATCAAGTACTTTACATAGATTGCCTTGAGTAATCTAGGTAGTTATTGCTGTTTTCAATAGGCTAACCTCAGTCAAATTAAATGACTTGTCTGAGTCCTGGTGTGGTAGTGTGGGATAGGCACCCGACTGCTAACTGAAAGGTCAGAGGTTCAAACCCACCAGTCGCTCCTCGGAAACCCTAAACAGGGTCGCTATAAGTCAGAACAGAGTCAGTGGCACTTAACAACAACAAGGTCATCAGCTTGATAGAATAAACGCCAGGTTTCTCTGACCCCAGAGTGCATGCATTGTCTATTCATCTTTCCGTCTCTGTCGTAATCCTAATACCTCTTTACACTCAGCATAGTGCAACATCTATAGCTTTCACATTTCTTGGAGGCACTCTTCTCATAGGTAAAACGAGGGACCATCCTATTGATAACAAAACACATACCATTTGCCTAAAGAAATATGAATAGATATTTTCACAGCATCTAATACTATTAAATAGCTTGCAGTAGAATGAGAGGATGATAGTTTGGGAGATTGTATCTTTTTGTCAAAATAGCAGGCTTAAGACAAGAGAACTGCTATAATATGTCAGTTCTTAGGTGTATACTTTAGATGAAAGCAATTTATAATAAAGCTTTTGGAAATGCTTTTGCAAAAATATAGAAAAATAGTATTCTTAAGGACCACTTGGTTCAGCTGCATTGCATGTCTGCCATCAGTGTTTAGAGTTTTAAAAATATTACGGATGCTCCAGCTTTCCTGGCAAGAAAGATTCTTGAGGCGATTTAGTAGGGATAACCATTGAGTGAGCTTAAAGTAAGCCCAGACATAGTGCCTGGAAGAGACCCAGGTAACTACATCCATTCTGTCCTCCCCAACACAACTCAGTAATGGGTTCTAATTCTTCCCAAGTCTGAGAGTGGTGCTACACTTCTACAGGCTTACACCTCACAAGCACACCTCACAAGCTGCCAAAGCAAAAGACTTATACTTTCATCAAATTCTTTAATGTCTGTTCACCTAAGGTGTATATGTTCAGGGTGGAGGGGTTCTTGTGGCTTAAGTTGAAAGGTGCTGAGACGTACCTAGCATGGGCCTATCACTCAACAGTGAACTCAGATTGCTGGTTTAATGTTCTTATCCATTGCTAAGAAGCTAATGGCCCTGGAAGAGGTCACTTTGAAAGTGTAAGTCAATTGTCTTTCACAGCAAAGGTGACATAATGGTTTTATCCCTGTGCCAAATCTAAAAATGGTGGTGGCTGTCCAGCATGTTCCATT